TCTCTGCTGTCATCTGCCCAGGGGAAGGTCAGTGGTGCGAGGATAAGCTTAAGCAGTGGTTTGATCGTCCGACATGCCAGGCTATTCTGGCCATGCCCTTATCACGACGGAATGTCGAAGATCGACTAATCTGGCATGCTACTGTGGATGGTCTCTTCTCTGTTAAGTCGGCTTATCACTTAGCAGTTCGTCTAGATAAGCTGAATGGGCGGTGGCGGGCGCAGGTTAGTTGGATGGACAAATCTAGTTGGATCCGTCTCTGGGATGCCAACATTCCTCCGAAACTGAAGATATTTGCTTGGCAACTTTTTACCAGAATTCTGCCGACTACTGAGGCCCTAATTGAGCGGGAAGTTGAAGTCCTTCCCCGGTGTCCTGTGTGTTGGGCTCCATCGGAAACGATGGAGCACCTGTTCCTTGATTGCCCAGTGGCCAGGGCCTTGTGGACTTTGTCTGGTCTCGATCATCTTGGTGAAGGATTGCCTCGGCATACTTTCCCTCTGTTCCTGAAGAAGTTGCTGGCTATCTTGCAGCACCCCTCGCAGTTCATGGGAGTAATTGCTATCCTGTGGAGGATTTGGCGGTCCCGGAATTGGGTGGTCTTTGTAGGGAAGCAGTTTAGTATCCTTGCTCTGATGAGGCAGTATCACCAACAGGTAGGGGAATGGTTGAGCTTACCTAATGATCCCCGGCATCCCTTGCTGACTCCTCCTAGCACTAGTGCAGTGGGTTTAGTTGCGGAAGGGGGACCTGTCTGTCGTTGGGATGGAGCATCCCGTTTAGGGTCGCACTCTGCGGGAGGTTTTGTGCTCCTTACTGAGGCAGGGGACATCCTTTGGGCTGCTGGTGTTCAGTTCCCTCTGTTGGAAGACCCAATGGTGGCGGAAGTACTTACCCTCCGTGAAGCAACCCGTTGGTGTATAATGCAGGGCTTTGAGTCAATGAGATTTGAAGGGGACGCCAAGGTGGTCATTGAGAAGCTTTGCCAGGGTGATGTGCGCGATAGTCGGGTTGGGGCTATTTTGGAGGAGATTCTTCAGCTTTTTACGATTCATCCGGACTTCACTGTACGATTTGTAGGTCGGGGTAGCAATAGGGTAGCTCACATTGTAGCTAGACAGGCCCTGTCTTTGTTCCCGACTACGTGTCGTTATTTTGACTTTCAGGCCTGGCTGAACTCCAGGATGTAATTATCGATTTGTTTCTATCAATACAAGATATCTTTTGTAAAAAAAAAAAAGGATATCATTTTGAAGAGCACAATTAATCTAATCTACCTGACAAAAAAATTAAATTTCGACTTAAAACAAGTGAGAAATCGTCCGTTAAAAGATTAAGGGGGGAAAATTAAAGTCTTTTCAAGAGAGAGAAGGGACGCTGATGTGGTGGATTTTGATTGGGTTATGCACAGTTATTCACCACAGGGTTATTGACAGGATCCGCTCCCGATAATAAGACCACAATTCATTCTATTACAAATTCAAGCATTAGTAACTTTGCACCACAATTCACCAAGGGGGAAAAACCACACGGTTTGCCGTTCGCCATTACTGAGAACTTCGTTGAGGAAATCAACTCTCTTATCCAACCTATCCATTGCGGGCAAAACCCTAGCTTATCGAAGATAGCAAGTAAAAAAGGCCATTCGACTCTATCATAGGCCTTTTCCATGTCAACCTTGAGAGTCATAAAGCCTTTTTTCCCTTGCCTCTTATTCCGGAGATAGTGCATAACCTCATGGCTGATAAGAACATTATCAACTATTTATCATTCACGCACAAATCCGTTTTGCTCTGGTGAGATAATCTGGGGTAATGGTGCGGCTGGTCCAGACCGGACCATATATGCGGTTTACGGTCCTGACCGAGAGGTTAGAGTATAGTGTCAAGAACCAGTTGATCCCAATAACTCGAGTTATTTGGGAGAGGTTCAATCGTGGATCATATACCAGACACTAACACGCCCCCTCAAACGAAAGCCATTCACAAGGGCTTGAAGTTTGCACAGGTCTGAAGACAAGAATACCATGTGCTAAACAAATGGGGGTCGTGGGGATTCGAACACAAGACCTCTCGGTCACATAAGGCTCTGATACCATGTCAAGAACCAGTTGATCCCGATAACTCGAGTTATTGGGAGAGGTTCAATCGTGGATCATATACCACACACTAACATATAGACCATAGACCAAACCACAGACTATACGGTCCAGACCACGTCTATGCAGTCTGGTCTGGTACAGTTTGGTCCAGATAGAACACAATGAACAAAAAATGAACAGTTTAATTAGTCAACCGCACAAAAAATTGAACCAATAGCTAAGAAAAAAATGTTTGATTTCCTTAAAACATAAATCCCTACATACATGGATAATTTTGACACCATAGATCTCAGTAAATAATAAAGATACAAAGTCAAAGCATCCCAAATTGCACCACAACGTCATAAACATATACATAATGTCATACGGAGACATGATCGTCTCTACTCTCTAGTGAAATGTGATTGTGAATAAACAAGGGGACGAGATTCTCAAAATTAAGATTGAGACTTGGGTATCGTTGTGAGAGTGGGTTGCTAACACGTATTGAAAAGTCTGTTGGGTCTACGGTTTAGTCCGATAAATCACGATCTAGACCAGATCAAACCAAGAAATCAAAACATCATATAAATATAATACAAATCATGAACCAGACCAGACCATACTTAACGATCTACGATCCGGATCAAACTATACAATCCAATTTGGGCCATAATTTTCAAACGATTTGGTCTACTTTCCCATCACTAACTCGTACACGAGTATTTTGCAGCCAAATCTCACATTTAAATCACTCATACAGCAAATCAAAACAAAAACAAAAAATCGGTCATACAGACTACCCATATATGGTTAATACATAATACTAAGCCTTGAACGTAAGCATCGGGCCTCTTGTCTGATCCACTGGCCCGGCAAATCACAATGCGGCTGCCGGCTGGTCCTCATCAATTCCCAGGACCCAAATGGTTTTAACACACTTTAGCCCATTTCTTTTATATGGCGCTGCTGGTACAGTGGTACTGCTAGCCGCTAGGGCCCTAAGCTCTTTACATTACAGCTTCCATCAAATCAAACAGTTTCGATCCACAAGGTTAATTGCATGGTTGATCATTGAAATTATAAAAACATTCATTTTTTTCACTGGAAATATTTAAATTCATTGATGATCACTAATTATCGTAAAAACGTTCACGATTGGTCACTCTCCGTTAGTCGTCCTCCATCTCCGTTAACAGACTCTGTTAAGCGCTAACGTGGCGAACAGAATCGTCTAATCAACCCTATTTAACCCGAAAATAGTGAGACCCGAGCCGCCACGACGTCACTAAGACCTACCATGTCATCTGGACCAACCCAACCCTCTAACCAGATCTGACTTGTGAACCGACCCACACAAATTAAATCCCTAAATCTAAAATAGATCCACTTATCTCCTTCGATCATGTCTCCTTCCTCTCGACTTTCATCCTCTTCCAGTGACCAAACAAGAACGTTTTTTTGTAATATCAGTGACCAATCATGCAATTAATCCCGATCCACAAAAACCTATTCTCCTGTTCTCTCTAAGCTTCTATTTCCGCACAGAAGAAGGAGAGAGTGTTTATGATCAAGTTATAGACACCCACGTTGCCACCATAAATATAGGGATGGCAATTTGAACCCGCCCTGACCCGCGATGGGCGGGTATTACCCGCCCTGACCCGGCCCGCCCCATTCTTGACCCGTTCTAGGTCAATTTCTTGTCCCATCCATTTATATATCTCCTATTTTAGTTTTTCTTCAACTAGTTAGATTTGATCTTTCAACTAAATAGACTCAGTTACCCATTATATTATCACTATTATTCATTCATAAAGTCTTTTCCCTTTCGTTTTATCATTAAAAGTAAAATTTAGTGCGTATTTTTCTCAAATAGCATTTAAGAGTGGATCGACCCGCCTCGCCCCGTACCTGCACTGGTATTACCCGCCCCGACCCATACTAGCGCGTGACAGGGCATGGGTATTGAGGTACCCGCCCCGACCCATTGCCATCACTACATAAATATACTGGATTCCTATTTAACGCCCTAATATTTTAAAATTTTCGCCCTAAATTAACAAAATAGACGAATTTACCCCTCCTCGCCCTAAACCCCTAAAACAGAATTCTCAGGGCGTTTCCTCTGCTCCGCTGCCCTGTCAATGTCATTCCCCTTGGATCCTTCCCCCGTCGCCGGCACTGCGCCCTGCAACTTCCTTCCGTCGAGAGTTGTCGCCACGACAATCTTCTCCTGCCATGTTGCCCTTTCGGCGACGTCAAGCCCCCCACTGCCTTCCGTTGCTCGCGTTCGAGGAAGGAAGAGGAAGAGGGCGGAATGGCGAGTCGTCGCCGCGAGGTTCTTCCGCTGCTCTGCTGCCCGGGGCGAGGACTTCCAGGCGAACGGCGGCGGCGGGGGACGATTAATCTCAGGGCGAAGGACACGACAGGATGTCTTTCCTTCTTCGTCTTCGAGCGGACGGCCCGCGATCTCAATTACTCCCTGTAAAACTTTCAATCGCACTCCCCCACGAAAATGGAACACTATGTTGTATGCATCCCTTCCTTATTCTCCTTGATTCGCGTTGTTTCGAGCTTCTTCCCCGCCGCAGTGGAAATCCTCTCCAAATCCAAGGTTTCTGCGGTGCGAGAAAGGCTCTGATTCTCAAGACCTCAATTGCCCTTGTAAAATAGTCCTCAACAGCAGTTCCCAGCGGCGACATAAGTGAATTTTGGTTCCCATTCAATCGCGTTAATCGATTGCAGAATTTCATACATTTGAGTCTCGTTTTCACTTTGTTCCAGCGAACGGCGGCGATGGGAACGGCTGAACATAGCGAAATTAGGTTAGGGCGACGGCTGGGGGCAAAAACGACAACTTGCCTAAGTTAGGGCGACAAATTTAAAAATGTAGGGCGTTAATTAGTACCTCTCGATTAACGCCCTAAGCCCCAGCTCAACGCTGCATGATCCATAAGCCCACACAATATATTGAAAGTGAAACCAATCGATTTCCGCACGGAACAAGGAGAAGAGGAAAGGAAGGCACCCACGATTTCCTGCCTGCCATATATAGACCAATCAAACTTCTGCAGAACAGCAGAAGCCAGCGAGCTCTGTCACTTTCAATAGAAATGAGACAAATGATGGATAATTGAGAGCGCTACTGAACATACAAACCCCTTGGGGCCAAAACCACCAACTAGTTTCAACCCAAACTACTACATCTTCACAACCAGCCACAGCAGATGTAATGAGTCGAGGGCATCCTCCCCGTCTGGCGAATGTATTCTGCTTTCGCAGCTGTTCTCTCTGCATCTCTATTCTTCCTTGATTCAGCTGCAGCTCGTCTCTCCTCGGCTCTTTGCCTCGCCATCGCCACTTTCTTCACCATCTTAGCTTCTGCTTGAGCTTTCATTTGTTCCACTTTAGACTGACACATCATCCCACAGCACATGAGTTCAGAATGTATATGGTTTACTTGCTATCTACTAGAGCGAAATAGAGAAAATTACACTCGCCAACCTCAGTTCTGCGCATATCTGCTTCCAGCTTTGCTATCTGCTGGCTTTCCCATGCTTGGATTTGTATCTCTTCACGTTTATATCTGCCAAGAACGAGTACCAAACCAAATAAATACCATGATCATTGATCTAGGTAAGGTGCCTTAGTAATGGTGCGTCTCATGAGCATGCCAAAGTGGAGGTGAAGAAGAAATACACACCTTGCTGAGTGTTTACACTTCTCAGCTTCTTCCCAAGCAGCTGCACGCTTCTCGAACTCAATCTGCTCCACTGACTCCATATCGCGAGACTGTGCCATGTTCTTTTCCTCTTCTTCTGTACTCGCCCAAGCAGCAATGTTCATCTTGCCAAGCTTCACACCAAGGGCGACGATCTCCCTCCTTGTCTTCAGTTTCAGTTCTTCCTCGCTTAGTTCCCTCTTAGTACCATTCTGGCTAGCTGTGCACTTGTTGCTGCTGCCATCTTCATGCTCCACAGGTGTCGTTGTGGGGCCTCCTCTTCTTGGTGTAGACGGGATTGATGAAGTTGGGCTGCGAATGGGAGTTGTTGCACCAATAGGGGTGCTGGTCCTTGATGGTTCTTGACTCGCAATGGGTGTCATCTCTGTTCCCATGTCTCTCATACAAACTGATCTTATCACAGGCACCACTGCAATTTCAGTGAAGAAAGGTAAATATCCAACTGAGAAAGATAATATCCATCAGCAAATACAAACAATATCCAAGTACCAAACACACCCCAATGGCCCAATGAATCACATTCCCTAGTGTCATTAAGATGAGACAAGTAGCAAACAACTTTAAGAAAAACATTCCATCAGTAGCAAACTTCTTATCAAGTGGTCCATCCACTGTGTCCTACCTGCTTAGCAAGACCCTTGATTAAGAAAGCAACCAAAAACAACCCAAAATCGACTGTTTTGATTGATTCCCTCAATTCTCTGCATCATTTTGTGAAACACAAAAAACCAAATGTTCTTATTGTTTCACTGATGACCACTTATGAAACCAATTAAAGGACACAGAACTTTTACCTGTCCTATCTTCTGTCGAAGTGTTCATAGTTGATAGTGCCATAGGATCCACCTCCTTCAAATCCTTGCTCTGACCATACTGCTCCATCAACGTATTTGCTTGGCCGGAAATGGAAGGAGTTCCAGGAGCACCAAGGAAGGAGAATTTCTCCAACCCAAGCTGGGAAGCAGTCTGACAAAAATCTACACGCTTGGTGTCCACCATCCTACCACCACCAGTTGCTACCAGCTCAGGAGCAACCCGCCCCATGTGTGTAGTAATGGGCATCCGATTACTACCCTGGTTGTTGTGGAACCCATTCTTCCTTGGATAACCACCACCATGCTGCTGCACATTTTGCTTGTTCATGATCCATTTCTCTGCATCATTCCACTTGGACGACATGGGCCTCGACAATGATCTCACCAGCTGGCTTTGTGCCGCGGATCTCTCCTTATGGAACTCGAAGCTGGACGAGCTATCGTACCCTGGATTCTCGTCTTCCATGGCTCTCACGTTGTGGACTGCATTCGAGTTGACGCTTTCCGACCTCAAGAGCTGATGTATCTTGGCATGATCCAAATCGTGGGTGTTGTTTTCCTTGAGCGGATGATGGCGACTCGTGTCAGGGTCTAATGCTGCCTCGCTTGTAACTGTTGTAGATGTAACTCCTGATGAAGGCGCCTCAACTGGAATCACAAACAAAATGCGAATAGAGGTTTGGAACAATCTGAAGCAAAGGTTGTATTTTCAGACGGTTGGCCCTAAGAAGAGTTAAACAAACAGACCTTCATCGGCGAAATCTGGGTGGTCGTCGTCATCGTTGGAGTCTAAGAGACTGCTCTTGACGAATTCAGTGTCGGCAACTCTGCAAGGAGAAGTGCGAGAGGAGCTGCAATTAGATGAACCTTCTTTCTTCCTGCTGCTGCTGTGGTGAGCCCCCATTAGCTTCATCCTCAGTTTGCTCGGTGATATCACTCCACTCTGCGCCAGAAAAAAAAAGTAAGAAGGAAATGAGAAACTCAAACCAAAAACTAAAAAAGAAAACCCATTTCTACCAAAAAAAAAAACCCCATTTCCTGTAGTTCATCCAACATTTCCACAAACCCAGAAACCGCAGCAGCGAAAAATCAAAATTATCGGAGAAAACAGAGCGCACACAAAAAGGAAACACAAAGAAGAAAAGGATAGACAAAGGGATTGGAAAACTCAATCAACCATTGCAAACAATAATTGGGGAAAAGGAAAAAGGACAATGTGTTTAGTGAAGCACAAAAGACAACAAAAATCTCACCCCCCCAAAAAACAAAAAGAAGAGAGCAAAACTGAAGTCGAATGGTCAGGGTAAGGTATAGCGAAGGAATGAAGACGAAGAGTAGAAGAGCGAAACCCAGTATAAGTAAGAAGAAATGTAAGAGAGGGTAGTCGTCAGATAGTCAATAAAAAGAGAGAGAGAGAGGAGCTTAAGATGAAGAAGGCAGGGATACCTGAACTTTGTGTATCCGCTCGTAATCCATTAGATCCTCTTCCCTCTCTCTCTCTCTCTCTCTCTCTCTCTTTCTGAGTTTTCCTTCCCGTGTATCCCGGCTAGCAGAAACAGTACCCTCTGCTTCTCTTCCCCTCAGCAGTGTCGTGAGGTGGTCTCTGTATACACGAAGTTGGAAGAAGCTACAGAAGCATCTCTTCCTTTATTGCTCTCCTCTGGGATTCTCTGAAACAAATATTGCAGCAGTGGGAGATAGAGAAGATTGCTGCTATGCTTTGCTTTGCTGGTGTGTGAAATGGAGGAGGAAGAGCGGGGGCCACTCTCTCTCCGCCTGTTTCGCCGAAGAAGAAATGAATTGAAGACGACTGTGTGGACTGTCGAACAAGAACAAAATTTCCTTTCACGATCCCACACTTTCAGCCTCTTCTCTATTTAATTTATCTCGCAGAAATTATTAATGAGAAAAAATAGATAAATAACAAAACGTAATAGTGAGGCTAGAGGGCAGTAGCTCCTCACTCCGATCACGCCACGTCAAAAGGATGGTCCCCACCACCGCCACGGCGGGGCCCACAACTCGTCCGATCGGCGATTTTCTTTGACCGAAGAGAAGACCGTTCGTAGGAGAAGAAAGGACTAAATTGCTTACTAACCCCCATCACCTCATCATCGCCATCCATGTTGGTCCCCGCCCGCCTTAATATTAAAAACAAATTCCCTTTTTCTCAGTTCCCACTCTCCTGCCTTTCCCCCTTTTTCCCTTCAATTTTTATTTTCCCTGTCATTGTTCCCTTTTGTGGGGGTGTTGTGACTTGTGAGAGTGAGTTTTTTTCTCCTAAAATTCACTTCCATGGTTTGTCAGTCTGTAGTGGTACAGCTTCTGATATAATTGAGTAGAGGTAAATTTCCTGATTTATGCAGGGTAGGTTTGGATGATGGAGTTGCATGATGATGTAGTTTGGTCTAATTGTTTCAAATTGAAGTAATTGTGGTCAAAGAGTTTTGTTTGGCTATACAAAATAGGGATACATAAGTTGGGCCGAAACAATTTGAGTTGTTTATGTTTTGTATCAATTCGAATTTACACATGAACGAAAAAAATAACTCGAAACGATGCAACAATTGTGAGATTACCTAATTTCGAGACAGTTTAGGTCAGATTGTCTCGTTTCTAAAATCCATCATCCAAAAGATTCCTGATATCGTTTCAGTGCGACAGTTATTAAACGCCGGTCGGAATGCTAGCTTAGTAGCGTGAAATTGATGACTTCATCAATTCCACTCTGATAATGGTTGAACTATATAGTTCGCTTCAATGGATTACTGATTGTGGCGTGGTATTTGAACATAAATAACTCACATTTGAAAGTGGTATTTGTGTGTCATTTGATAAATTTGGGAACAGAAAGTGTATTGTTTCGATGAAAAAAATTTGTGACTTATTTGCATATTGTATTTTGTTTCATATAAACTAAGGGGTCGTTTGGATGACACATTCTGATGAGTCAATCCTCCCCAATTGACTCAAAATGAGACAATTGGGCCAAATTGGCTCATTTGGCAGGACAAAAATGAAACGAAACATTTTGGACCGAGTTAATTGCAATTGCTTCGTTAAGGGTGAATGTGAAATACCTGGGTGGGGGGCAGACAATCTGCTTTGACGCGTTTTTGGGGCCCTCTTTCCGATTGTGACCTTCGCTAGTTTCTTCCTCTCTCTTCCCCGAGATAACCTTTCCTCTTCTCCTCTTTCCTCTCTTTCTCTGGTCTTCTTTCTTCCTTTTTTTTCAGCAGCGATAACAAGATGCAGAGGTGAATGCTGAATCGCTCGATTCGTGAGCCACCACCGATGACTTGCTCGATTTGAGCTCAATTGGTGGCGACGGTGTTGTAGATGCAGAGGATGGCGACGATGGTGCTGGAAAGCAATCCTGGTGGCCGATAGTTGTGGCTGGGTGTAGAAGGGGAAAATCATTGCCAAACATCGTCGCTGGTGAAATTGGCATGCTTTCTTTCTCTTCTCTTCTCTGTTTATTTTTTCATTTCTATATAAGCTTTGGGAAAACGAAGATCCCATCTAATTGAGGGTGAAATCTGACGACAAAGAGGAAGAGTGAAGTCTGACGGCGATGAGGGAAGAGTTGACCTGGGTTCGTTGTCCGATTGGGTTTGTGATATGGAATATTTGGAAATAAATGAGAGTTCTGCATGTAAGTAAGTGGTGGGTCGATCTGCTCCCTGCGAGCAAGATTTTTCATATCAAACAACCATTGTTCCTCCTAAGCGGCGGTGATTATGGATTCTTCCTATTTCCTGTAGGGTTTCCAATTCAGTCAAGCTAATTCGTTTCAGATTTTAGATGCTATGTTGCAAATGGGTTGGGTTTGTTTTCTGTTGCTTCGATTCAGTCAAGCTTCGGTTCAATCAAGCTTTAATTCGGGGGGAAATCTGATTGCTTAGTGAGGGAGTCTTTTACCTGGGTTTGGGGTTGTTTTCCATTGCTCTGTTTCTGGGTTTGGGGTTGTTTTCCATTGCTCTGTTTCTAAAAGGGTAGTCTGTGTGCGATTTGGAGAGCATTCTATGCCAAGCACAAAGAGGAAGAATGGAGAAGGAGGGTAAGATAACAAGGGCAAAAGTGTATTTTCAATAAATGTCTCATGTCAATTGCCTTATCTCAAATAACAAGCCAAACAAGACAATTTGAAACAAATATACCATACAATTATCTCATTTTGTAAAATGAGACATTTACACCAAATTGTCTCATTTTGGAAATGCTCCATCCAAACGACCCCTAAGATATTGCCAAACGATTTATCCTATCTCAAATAAATCACAATAAATTATTTGGATCATAATAATTTGTGAAAACGTCTAGTCCAAAATGCTTTCTGTAAATTATGTCCAAATCTTGCTAAGATAAAATAAAATAATATGAAAAAATAAGCGGTGAGGGAAGGAATCATTGTTGATAATAATGGAAAGTTGGGAGTTGCAGTGTTTAGACAGAGGCTGAGCAGTGTGGCCTATCAATCAAATATACACTGTTTGAGGCTTCTTGTGCCGATGAGCAATCGGTTCAGGCTTCAGAGTTTCCCCACATTTATCACCAGACGTAGTCACAGTACGGCTGCAGGTTTTCCCCACTACTTCAGCAGCAATGAGTACAATGCGATTTCGCCTTAACAGTATTCTTCTCGGTTTTGAGTTCAGCTAGCCCTCGTTCTATCATATGGTGAGTTTATTGTCCGACAGAGAATCGAATTCAAATCCACTCTCACTGGAGATTTTTTTTTATATACAAAAACCAACTTCTGGAAACAACCGCCAATTTGAGCACTTTAACCAAGCTTTATTGGCTAAAATCGGGTGGCTTATCCTTAGTGAACACCAATCTCTTCCGGCCCAAGTCTATAAAGGTAAATATTTTCCTACGGGGACCTTTCTCCAAGCCAAGGCACGGTCCCGGCCATCCTGGGGCTGGCAGAGTATCCTTTAAGGGAAGCAGTTGCTTGAGAAGGGCCTCCATTGCCAAATTGGTAATGGACAGTCGGCATCCCTCCTTTTCTCCAACTGGATCCCGAGATTGCAGCATGACCACCTGATATACAACCCCCAGGTGCTCCCTGATGGGGGTGATCCTCGGGTGGCTGAAGTTATCAGGCAGGGTGAAGGGTGTTGGTGTGACACAAAGTTAGGGCAGTGGTTTGACCCCCCTACATGTCGGGCTATAAAGGCTATTCCTCTCCCACGTAACAATGTGGAGGATAGGTTAATTTCGCATACCGCTACCGATGGAGTTTTCTTTGTTAAATCCGCCTATCATTTAGCTGTTGAGATAGATAGGAAGAATGGATGCTGGTGGTCTACGGTCAGCTGGATGGATAGGGCTAGTTGGATACGTCTGTGGGAGGCGGATATCCCCCCCAAGTTGAAGGTAATCCTGTGGCAAATTTTTCATAGCATTCTACCTACTACGGAGGCCCTACTTGAGAAAAAACTGCTGGTGCTGCCTCGGTGCCCAGTTTGTTGGGGGAATCGGAAATGATCGAGCATTTGTTTCTTGACTGTCCAGTGGCGAGAGCACTATGGGATTATGAAAGATTGGAACATCTTGGGCAGGGGTTGCCTCGCCATACCTTCCCTCTCTTTCTTAAGAGATTACTCGCTTTAGTCCATCAGCCTCATGTTCTCCGGTTGGTGGTGGTTGTCCTCTGGCGGATTTGGAAATCTAGGAACTGGATTGTCTTTGATGGCAAACAGTTTGGCTTCCTTGCCTTGATGCATCAAATTCACCAACAGTGTGAGGAATGGGGTGGTTTGTCGGTGGACCCGGTAGTTCCGTGTCCCCTGCCCACTTTTCCTCCTGTGAGCCCGGATGCGGGTCCAAACTTTATATGTTCGTGGGATGGGGCTATGCGAGAAGGTTCACATTCAGCCAGGAGTATGGCTCTTCACAACCCTCAAAGAGAGGTCCTGCAAGCCCATGTGACGCAGTTTAGGGACATCGAGGATCCAATGGTCGTGGAATTGCTCTCCCTTCGGGAGGCGCTCTATTGGTGTATAAATCATGGTCTTCAGAATGTCCGGTTTGAGGGGGATGTTATGGTCATCATCGAGAAGATAAATCGGGCGGATACCAGAGATAGTCAGTGTGGGGGTGTTCTAGAGAAGGTTGTGAGTTGTTTTGCTTCTCACGCGCGGTTTAGTGTATGATTTGTAGGTCGGAATAGCAATAGGGTAGCCCATGTGGTGGCTAGAAAGGCCATTTCCTTGTCTCCGGCTACTTGTCGTTCTTTTGATTTCCAGGCCTGGATGTATTCCAGGATATAACTATTCGTTTTGAATCAATATATGATTATCTTTTGTTGAAAAAATGAAACAACGACAAAAAAAAGATGGAGATGATTTGAGGTTGATATTTGGAGTGTCGGCTTCAAAATCTCCAGAAAACGCGTACACAAAGTAATTTTGATAGATCACAATCACATTATAACATTCTTAACTTTCATTAGCATGGCGACAGTGGCGGACCCAAGATTGTTGAAGAGAGGTGTTGTAACACCTTAGGCAAATCCCACATCGACAAAGCACGGGAGAGATCCATGGTTCATAAGTAGGAAACCGGCATTAACTGACAAGACGCGTTTTGGGGTGAAATGGAAGTGTTCTTGTGAGAACTACGAAGTTAAACGTGCTCAGTACGGAGCACAACAAGGATGGGTGACCTTATGGGAAGTCACCCTGAATTGCACCCCAAGTCGAAAACTATGCGGGTGTAGAGGCTCAAAGCGGACAGTATCTTGTCGGGAAAAGGTACGAGATGTTACAAGTGGTATCAGAGCCTCTCCGCGTCCCTCTTGAATGATGGTGGGGCAAACCTCAGCGAGGGCGTTGAGTCCCAA